CCATCTTCTCGGGTGAGAGGTTGTAAGTCATAATTATGCTAGGGTATAAGGAAGCGAAGTCTAAACCTGTAACAGGGTGCTTATTTTCAAGACCCTTTACTGGTGGGAAAACGTATGCTCCCGGAAACTTCCCAGATGCTTTCTGATCAGAAGTTTTCATGCTGAATAGTATGTCCTGTGTCCATGCTTCAGCACCCAAGAGGTTGGATACTTTTGTCCCTATGGCATAATAATGTGTATCAAATAGAGTTATATATGCTATCGAAGCGACTTCTCTATAATCATTTATTATATTATGCCTGACCGCGAGCTCCTGACAACGTAAGGCGTCTATGGTACAGTAATTAGCTATTTTGTGCATATTTTCAGTAGAAGAGTCTGAAATCCTACCCTTCGCTTCTGAATAATACTTCCATAATTTGCTTATAGGTAAATCGGCTTTGCTGTCGAGACCACAATCTTCTAAGAAGTATTTGAGTGATCTTCTCTCTGAACGGGGGAAAAGTTGCAACAAACTCGCGCAAACGTCAATTGGTACGCATCCGGGAAGCTTAAGAAATGATGATTCAAAGCTCAAATTATTGGTACCAAATTTGATGTTAATAGATTCACGACCTTCTGTTCTTCTGAAGTTCCTGTCTGTTTTCTTCGCCCATTGGTCCCTATGAAAGAAACCACTGCTTAATGGCTTTCCAGTTCTACCGAAATAATTCCAAATGAGGATGGATTGAGTATTGGCTGTCTTACGCAGATTTGCTGACATTTGTTGGACTATCCAGTCGAGAACCTTTAATTTTGTAGCCTTCTCCACTATAAATGGCCAATCATATCCGGAATCGTTAAAGCCAAGCTGGATGTCTGGGGCAAAAGATTTCCAACATAGAGTAAATACCTTTAAGAGATTGGTCTGATTCCCGCATATGATGGTCATGCAACGTGGACCTGGTGCCATCTCAACATCAATGAGACGTATTTGTTCTAGTGGTTTTGGGTCATCTTTCCAGTGAACCGTCATACAGATCATAAAAACTTGAGCTGTACAGTAACACCTCTATAAATGCACGCTCTATAAATGCACACCCTCTCTATATGCACACTATAGCTTGGTCCCAAG